ACAAGAGTGGGTTTGGAAAAAGTTATCACAATCATTATTGTCGTCTTTTCATTTTGACTGTCATCATTAAAACATTGTACGATATTCCTTGGAAGCAAATGTACACGTGCAGAACCTACCAATGTTAGGGGAAAAATATTAATTGGCGAAGGCGATTCGGAACTACGAGGCACAAATTAGACTATTAATCTCACTCGGAATTAGACCTACATATTTAGTGTCTATCCAAAGCTTACGATTAGTGTCGGATGGATGGATGGATGGACGGACAGATGGATGGATGGACGGACAAATGGACAGATGGATGGATATGTATGTATGTATGTATGTATGTATGTATGTATGTATGTATGTATGTATGTATGTATGTATGTATGTATGTATGTATGTATGTATGTATGTATGTATGTATGTATGTATGTATGTATGTATGTATGTATGTATGTATGTATGTATGTATGTATGTATGTGTTTACGATCCATGCCTAAACAACCAGTCACACTAATATTCATTACCTTGACAGCTTCATGAAGAAACAATTACTTGTACATAAGACCATAAGAAATATTGCAATGGAATGTCGTGCTTGCAAACAAAAAAGCAATCGGTAATTGCAAACATACGTCAGCAGGCATTTTATCCCTCCTTCCCTGTTTTTCGTATACATCCGTCGGTGTAATTAATTTAAGAATTTGCTTTGTTTAGCATTTAAAATTGTTTATTAATTATTTATTTACTGCTAATTAAGTTTATTAAAATGTCAGTGTTCTCTTTCCTTATTTAGTTTTTCTGCATGATAATTTATTGTACAAATATTTTCTCCGTGTAGTAAGAGAATAATATGCAGATGACACAATGCACGATGTTTGGCCAGAACTGTTCATATTTATGAACGAACTACTAATGGAAATTGCATGAAGATTAATACACAGCAAAACATGTTTAAAATATTTTGTATTGTTTGTTATAGATTTTATGTATGTGTACATTTAAGAATATCGATGTTTTGTGTGGCTTACATACATACGAACAGTAATACGGAAATGAGTTTAATAGACTACGTCAGACCAATTAATTTGATTGACAGACAACGTCAACGTTTAATGCACGTGAACATACAACTTCTATAATCTTAAATGAATTTAATGTAGACCTGAATGTACAACGTAAATTTCTAAATTTGGTTTTAAAAGTACATTCTCCCATCCATGGTTCAGCCTGAATTAATCCGTTTTTTTATGTGTGGCCAAAATGGTACACTGACTGTCAAGCTGAAGCTCAAAACTGGTGCTGTGTTTTAGCGGTTTGACTTAATAGTGCCCGGTCTGATCGATGTCACATTCCAGAATATTTTCCTGTTTATCCGAGAAAATAACTTTGGTAAAACTAGCTCGAAATAAGTTTGCTGAAAATTTTATTACCAGCTCAAAATCTTTCAATGTCACTTCTAAAAGAAAAGAAAATATTTTATAAAATACATTTATTTTTAATTATAATTCATTTTCATGGTATGAAGAGTTCAAATGTCCAGGAACACGCGCCATCTTGCCACGTTTTCATTACCGACAACCGAGCGGTACAACGATGCTGCATTGTGAGAATTCTGGACCATCCATATATATTGAACACCTTCATACTGTATCTCACGTGCAAAGGAACTATTTTCTAAAGTAAACATTTTTTTTTTATGAATGAACTAAAGCATATATTTCATAGACGGCCACATACCAGCAAATATTTCATAGACTGACACATACAAACTGCTTTGGCACATTCCGCATTTACTTGTTTGATACAATGTTTCAAATTTAACTATATATTGACGCTATACAGGTTCCTCACAATAAAATGTAAGTTATACACATAAACTGTCTACTTTAGAGGTTAATAAAAATGGCCAAAAATATGCTTACAATTTTACATCCTGAATTTCCTCAAAAAATATATTTTCGTAGGTCTGTAAATTCCAAATTTGATGAGCTATGTCATGGGTTCTCAATATTGATTACACATTTTGAAATTGTACTGTAATTTCGAGTATATTCCAAGTGTTGTTACATCCTCCTTACTGCACTCATGTATTCATCAACAATGTTACTCCAAATTTCAATTTTAAGTAGAGCAAGCGCCATTTTCTTTCGAAACTTAGTGTAGCGCGCGACCAGCTTCATATTTATCTGGGCGGAGTTATGCGTTCATTAATGTTGTGTAATGATCCATCAACGCTTATATTTAGTTCGGAATATGGCGTACATTTAGTTTCTTTGTTTCTTTCAGTGTATTTTTGTTTATATATTTAAGCCTTGGGAAGAATAAGAAAATGAACATATAATAAAAAAGGTTACTGCATTTGTATGGGAAAATATGAACTCGTTTTGTCGGAAGGATATACTGCAAGGTCGTGCAGTATATCCATCCGAAAAACTCGTTCATATCTTCCCATACAAATGCAGTAACCTATCTATCTATCTATCTATCTATCTATCTATCTATCTATCTATCTATCTATATATATATATATATATATATATATATATATATATATATATATATATATATATATATATATATATATATAATTGTATAATATATTCGTGTCAGTAAAAAGTCGGGGGTTCAAAAGTCGGCAGACGTGAAAAAGTTGATAAAATATTAGAGCTCGACAGTACTAGCACTATAATTTGACGTATCTCTGGATTCCGTTCGTTGCAACTGAAAATCTTAAACGCTCGTCTGTATAAATTGAAAGTTCTATAGACAGACTTTCAAAATTAAGAAATGTATTTGATCAACTGATAATATTACTCTTTCATCGCCCAGCACTACCATATCTATGTTATTCCCTTCGCGCAGTCTAACACACACACACACACACACACACACACATATACACACACGCACACATTTCTCGAAGACGATTACTAGAGGCAACATAACTTTAAGAAGTTGGGAAAAAAAACGTGGGCCCACTTCTGGATCAAACGGACTATATCCTTTCTAACCGAACCGATCGGTTCGTAAACTCGATCTGTTATCTAGCGTCTTCAAATGGATTTTTTTTTCATTTTTTTTTTTAAATTGCATATATGCAAACAAAAAAGTTATCGCATAAAAAAAATTGCGAACAATGACTTCTGACATGATTTTGATGTGATAGAATTCTGATGTACGACAATTTTTTTTCGGTCAATTGTCTTTTTGACTCAAAATCCATTGGACCATTATTTTTTCTTTTGTTTCCAGTCCGAGATTGTCAAATATTCAATTTGGTATACATACTATCAACTGAGATAAAAAGATACTGATCTGCGAATGTAAATTGGTTGAATTGGACATGTTTAAAAAGGTTGGCACTCTATAGTATTCATATATTTCGTATTTTGCAGAATTCTAATGAAAAAAATATCCCCGGATTTTTTCCACTGGTTATACTGGCTATTTAAAAAAAAGACTTTGAATATCTTAAGTATTGTTCCAAGAATCTATAATTCCGTTTATTTTGGTGTATGATCGATGGGGTGTAATATTGGTTTTGAGTATACAGCTTGGCCTTACTCCAGATGTGCATCTTTCAAAAAACTGCTATCTCCACTTGGTCATTTTCATTTCCTTGACTTCAGAGGTAAATTGTATTTTAAAAAGCCGATATATTTTGTTACATTTTATGTATATATAGTAATTCATCCATTAAACTTTTAATTTTCCCAGTGTTAATAGGTGCTAAAGATTGTGTACTTTAAACTAATTAATGGTGATTTTTTTTAGCACAAAGGAGCAGTCATTTTAGTTAGCAGTGTGCTTAAAACAAATACAATTTCCATAAGTACAATATCTAAATAAATGTCAGCCACATTGAATCAAAGTAGCGTAGAGGTATGCCAACATTCTCTTCACTGCGCATGTTTTAAATGCAAACAATTTCACCTTACATACGTCATTATCTCAAAAGCACATAACTGGCGAGCGTCTCAATAAGCCGGTACCACTAAATAACACATTCAGTACCACTGACCACCACTAAATAACACTCCCAGTACCGCTGAGTACCACTAAATAACATGCCCTGTACCAATGAAAAATACTAACACACCTGTTACCTCGGAGTACTACTAAATCACACACCCAATACCATTGAACACCACTAAATAATATTCCCAGGACTAATATGTACGACTTTATGACATACCCAGTAACAATGAATACCACTAAATTACACAATCAGTACCACTATCACTAATAACACACCCGGTACCTCCGAGTACAACTAAATAGCACACCCAATACCATTGAGTACCACTGAATAACACTCCCAGCACCAATGAGCGCGACTAAATGACATACACAGTAACAATGAATACTACGAAATAACACCCTGTACAACTAAGTACCACTAAATAACACACCCGGTACCTCTGAGTACTACTAAATAACATCAAATATATAGATAAGTCTTTTTGTTTCTTCTTGGGGAGCCCATAGTGGCAGGGTGGTCCAACGATCACGGTTCTGGATCACTGCCATCTCGCCTTTCTGCATGGGTTTCAAGTCTTAGGCTCGGCTAACGTGGATATGTGAGAAAGCCTGCCAGTAGCTTTTCGTGGGTCGGTGGTTCTTCCCGGGGTTTTCTAAGGTTTTTCCTCCACCAGTTATACTGGCCGCCATGTATAGCTTATATCGTGCTGAAAACTGGCGTTAAGCCCTACGACAACAAGAACAACATTGTTTCTCCTTGCGAAACAAAAACTGTCTCCTTTCGAACACGTGTGTGTGATTTATATTTTTTAACGTAGCTTTAACAATTTTTCAGTCATATCGCTACGAGGTCTGCAGTGTGACAGTTTATAGTGATGACTAGCACTTGGGCATAATGCCGCAGACATGTAGCATGATGTCCCACCCAGTCACATTATCCTGATACCAGGACGACCAGTCCTAACACTAACCTCTTAATGCTGAGCGCCAAGCCAGCTGTTAGTACCATTTTTTAATGTCTTTGGTATGACTTGGCCGGGGTTCGAACACGCAACAACCCGCTTCAGAGGCGGACGCTCTAACCACTTGGGCACCAGAGCGGTAAAAAAAAAAACCGAATGAAACGTGTACACGTTGGGTGGGTAAGAGAGAGAATTTGTAGAATAACCTTATAATATCCAGATAATGTGAGGACAGAAAACTTTCGATAAAGAAGATGTTTGTCTTATGAATTCAGCTGTGTCTCATTTTATTGCTAGGCAACATAGTAATTGCATATATTATTTAAACGAAGCACTTATGTTGAATATGCCATGCTTGAAACCTTGCCCATACGTTGCAATGGTTCTCGATGAAGATTTTTTTATTATTTGCAAAATGCATGCATCTCTGAGTGACACTAACGAACACTATTAACATGACGTAGGCACTAGGTATTCCATTGTGTGTACTGTAAGTACACATGTAGTCGATGTCACTTACATACAGCATCTGAGTCATTCATTTTCTAATGACGTAGTTATTGGTAAAGAAGATTTTCTAAGTTACCAGTATGCCAGGTTGCGGAATGTTTATTTCAACATATTTTATTTCCCGCTAGTAGTGAACGTACATTGCGCAAAGGAATGGAAAACATTTCTCCAGTTTACTTCTTTTCCGTCACATAAACGCCAAATTTTGGCTAGGTACGTTTGAAATATGTATAATATGGGGAGAGAGAGAGAGAGAGAGAGAGAGAGAGAGAGAGAGAGAGAGAGAGAGAGAGAGAGAGAGAGAGAGAGAGAGAGAGAGAGAGAGAGGGTATTTATAAATTTATAAGCGAGTATGTATATTTGATATTGAGGGAACTTACACTTCCCATTGTCATACCATTAAACAATGAGTAATCGTATCTGAAAGAAATTATACATATCAAACATTTTAGGAAAAATTAATAGGATTTTAAGAAAAAAAAAAAAAACAGAAAAAATATTCATGCAACATAGTTCCAGTTTGAGTGAACCTATTGCTTGGATAATAATTTTCTATATTTTTCATCACCTGGCATATTCTGTTGAGTTGTGTACAAGTAAAGTTTTGAACAAAACACCCCCACCCACCAAGAGCTGATAGGTAAAACCGGAAGTTGATAAAATTTTAAAATTAAATATGTATCTGTTCGTTATACAGTCTGTAACCAAACAAAGAGATGATAATCATTTTTTTCACTAGATTCCAACAAGATCAAGTTTGTTAAATTAGTCCGAAACAGATCGTACTTCAGAGTATTGCATTAATTTTCTCAATCCAGCAAACAAAACAAAAGCTACCCGATTGCAGCAGCCTTGACAGGAAGGGACCGCGATATTATCTTGATATTACTCCTTTGAACATTTAAATAACTGGACTCTTTTTTATAGGTAAAAGCAATTCAAATCATACCATATGCATTCACTTATAAATCTTGTTTAACTGCACACTGCACATTTTCATAATTCGTTGGCAGATCTAGGTCTGTACAATTTCTTAGGAGTAATAAGTAGAACAAACAGTGTGGACCATGATCTGCAGGCACATTATGCTATGGTAGATCTTTGTTGTTTGCAGTTTGATTCGACTTCTGGATTGCATACAAATCAATAATGGGCTAGATTTTGGAGGGAGGATTGAATCTATTGTTTGTTTAAAAGAAACACGGAAGCATTTCTCGAAAGTATACAACATAACATGCTATGTTGAAAATGTCCTTTTAAGCCCAACAATCACGTAATTAGTATTTTTGTGGTCTTTTCCAATGGATAATAATGCATGTCAACCACTAAATTAAAGAAGATTATAGAACTATCATCAAGATACCATCGAATTGTACGTGTCTATCATTGAAATGTATGTTTCTTCTATCAATGAAATGTGATTTTATCATTGAATTGTAATGTCAGAATGTGTCAACCATTGAAATGCATGTGTCTATCATTGAATTGTACGTGTCTATCCTTGAACGATATGTTTCTATCATTAAATTGTATGTGTCTATCACTGAAATGTATGCGTCTTCTATGAATGAAATGTATGTTTCTATCATTGAATTGTAAATGTCTATCATTGAATGGCACGTTTCTGTCTTTGAATTGTATGTGTCAGAATGTGTCTACCATTGAAATGTATGCGTCTATCATTAAATTATACGAGTCTATGACTTGTATGTGCCTCTCATTGACATGAATGTATCTACCATTCATGTCTATTATTTGTTTGTATGTGTCTATCATGGAATTGTATGTGTCTATCATTGAAATGAATGTGTCTATCATTTAATCGGTTGTATCTATCATTTACTTATTTATGCCTATCATTGATATATAGTGTCTATCATTCAAATGAAAGTGTCTATTACTGAATTGAATGTGTCAATGAATTGATGTGATGTGATTATTATTTTAACGTAGCTTGAACAATTTTTCAGTCATATCGCTACGATGTATGCAGTGTGGCAGTTTATAGTGATGTCTAGCACTGGGGCATCATGCCGCAGACATGAAGCATGATGTCCCACCCAGTCACATTATCACCAGGCTGACCAGTCCTAACACTAACCTTTTAATGCTGAGAGTTAAGCGAGGCAGCTGTTAGCACCATTTTTGTAAGTTCTTGGTATGACTCGACCTGTGATCAAACCCACGACCTCCCTCATCCGAGGCGGATGCACTAGCCACTAGGCCACCGGAGCGGTTCAATGAGTTGAATTATCTACCATCAAACTATACGTGTCTCACAATTAACTGAATCGTTAACTATTGAATTGTATATGTCAACCATTTAGGAGTAAGTATCTACCATTTAAGTGAATTGACTAACACTCAATTATATTTGTCTAGACAATGAATGTGTTATATTCTTAACAGGAAGCATACCGCATCATGTAAAGATTTCGTCTTGTAAACTAAACTCGAGACGCCACTTAAGTGTATATATCTTACATCTTTTGTATCGTCATGCCCACACCTGGTAGAAAAGGTATATTAACTCTGCCACTACAGAATCATTAAGGTTTGTTGTTACCTTTGTTATGCGGATATGAAAGTTAAATCGAACCTTCAACCCAGGTAAACATCTCTAGCAAGCCGACGCCCACAGCCATGTTTACGTACTATCGCTACATAAAAATGAATAGGCCATATTCCGTGCATCATGAATTTGGGCTATTACTCAAACTGAAACTTTGCCAGCTTTTGGATTCGGAATGTAGTGGTATATAAAGAGTTAAAAACGGTCCTTTCCTCGATTTATTTTAGAATGTATGTCAGAACCGTACGGACAGGTGCAAAGAATTAGAAGTTACGTAAGTATATATTACTTTGAATACGATGCATCTATTGTAATCTTATAATGTTTTGCATGGTATCGAAGTGATAAGCAGAGCTCGAATAAACGTTTATGCCTAAAATTCGGTTTTACAGAGGTTTATACTTTATTTTGTACTTGAAACATAGTTCAACGATTCTAACTCTATATTTATTCAATAGCAAGAACGTAATAAGATATTAAGTGTTAAACTTATTTGAAGGGATAGTCTTTAAAATACATAGAATATAACATGATAGAGATAGAAGTAAAGGAAAGCACAATATATGAAGATGTAACATTCGCTTACTTCGAATTCTTAAAACTATTTAATACTGGTTTTTAAGTACCTTACGTTATTTTCTTGCTCACTAAATTAAAACGGAAGTTCAGGAGAGGGACAGGGAAAATAAAAATGTCAGAACATTGGTAAATTTCGAATAATAATCGTTCGATCAAATTGTTATTTCTACGCTGAGCTTGTTGCACGTGCGTAATTACTGTAGATTGAAACTCAAAACATATCATGTTATCTTTTATCTCTCCGTTTGTTAAGCTGCAAATGCTTACATTGATGGGTTTTCCATTTCGATCAAATAATCTGATAAGCACGTAAATAAAACAAGGCTAATCGTACATTTAGAAATTGTTTGAAACGTAATTCATAATGTCAATCCGAGATGTTAACGTCTTGAAACCTTCCTGGGGACCCTTTCAAGAATTTTATTTTAAAGAAACTAAACTTCATTATGTTTGTTGTATGATAATGTTTATTTCGGAATGCAGAAGTCTTATAGACTCCACGATGTAAACAAAGTTGCATGGCACTTGGCCAAGCGAAACTACGCCTCGTGAATTATCTTTAACTCCAGTAATATCGAGTTGCAATCATTTGTATATATGCTGTAGGTCTTTGTGTCTAATTTTAGATATGATGCCAAGCTATATTAATCGCAACAGCAGCAGTCGCGGTAGCCCCGGAAGCACTCCGTATACCGTTCATTTTGCTGGGTCGGAAAATGCGGTGCACAAGTTTTCTAGTCAAGAAAAATTAGCCAAAATGACTAGCATTACCCAAGGGCCAACAATACCCGATCCTCTTGCACAGAGGGCCATTATAGAACAGCATTTTGAACGTCGACTAGTAGAGGGGGAGTTTTGGTTTGTGGTGGTAGCGGAATGGTTAGAACAGTTAAAGAAGTATCTTGGAATACCTAGCACGAGGAAATACTTCCAACACCGTGTTCATCCAGGAGCCATTATCACAAGAAGGGATTATGCTCATACCGTAGAAGTTATACACGAAGATGCGTGGAAGTTGCTTCTTCAATGGTATGGACTAGCTGAAGGTCACAAGCCAATAAAATTGGTTGTCTACAACTACGCACGCGCACCGGAAATTGAGCATCACTTAAATTCATTCAAAGTAATGCTAACCAATGCCCCTCCCGAGGATTTTCAGAATGTCAGATTCAGCAAAATGGAAAAAGTTGGACATATTGAATGGAAAATCAGGCAGCTGTATAACATTCCCTTGGCTCACCATACACGAATGTGGGCGAAACCGGATCAGGATGGCGAGTGGCGACCTGTACTGGTCCGTGACAAAGCTATCGGCAAAGCCCTTGATATAGACTCCGATTTCATACGTCCGTACGTGGCGCTGGAAGTTCTAGGTGCAGACGGTATATGGAGTAAAAACCCGGATAACACGCAAGCCACACAAGACTGCCCAATCGGAATTCTGTACGATCATGACATTTTCGAGGATGTCACAGGG